TATATATATATATATATATATATATATATATATATATACTATATATGCAGCATATTTTATGTTTGTTTTGTTTCGCTAATAAGATGTCCAAGAAGAGTGTCTAATGTGGTGGCACTCATAATCAGAAAAAGATGTTGGACAGCAAAGAATGAAATACTTTTTCAGTCTTTTGTTCCAAATATCTCGTCTTTTTCCCTTCATTTGGGAGAAAGACAAGTCGGAAACAATCATTTATAGATGACCTCGTTTATGACTCAATGCTTTTAAAATGCGAGAAGAGGACACTCCACTTGAACCCTATTTCGCCCACACATGTATATTGTCTGAACGTGGCTTTTTGAATTACACAAGTGAGCACTTTACAGCCCACTGTGACTTGTGTCTGTAAATCATTACAATATTCACATCTATATTTAGCTCATAGAGGCTTCCCTCCTTAGAAATCAAATGATAAAACACAATAATAAACACAACAAAGTGAAAAATAAGTGCAGACAGAAGGCAATAATGAAGATTGTAGTTGTGTTTAAATAGTATTTTTATTTCTGTTAGCTTGAGAAAAGAACAGCTTAGTGATTGATTATCCCTATTAAGATGTAGTCAGTGACATTTGTGAGTTCACTGACCGCTTCTAAACACAGACTTAGATGATGACCACAACAAATATAACCTGAAACATAATTTCCTCACTGATGGTACTATCAAGTGAGGGCAGGAGGCCGGTTCATTGTGAAGGGCAGAACATAAAAACAATAATGACCATATTAATAGGAGCTGGAAATGTGGTCTGCGCAGTCAAGATGAAAACCGTTATTGTTGCGAGGACAGTTGGGCAAAAGGTCATGTTGGACTAAAAGCTTGTTTTTATTCGTCAAATATAAAAAGACGTGAGAATGATTTCAAACAGCACTGCAGCCTGCTTTATGCTGTAATGACATCTGATCGCCATGATATTCCTCAAAATAAATGCAGTGACAGATAATGTTTTTTTTTCAAAATACTTTTTTTGTTGTTGTTGAAGAGCTCTTTGAAATGACACACTTTTGGTTCTCTGAAATAAAGGGGGAAAAAAGCAAACAAAAATATCTAGGAAAATTATATTTTCTTTAAAACTGCAATGTGAATGCTGAGTGCCAAAAACTGCTGAAATATGCTGAAGAAGCTGAAACATAGTTCCTAAAACTAAAGGAAACAAAACACTTGCTAAATGCTAAAAGCAGCACAAAAAGTTAAAAATTAGAAAATACACTAAAGCAGTTTTTAAAGAGAACAATGTTTTTGAAGAATTAAATAGATCTTGGTGTAATCATGCAGGGGAAATATTTGTAAATCAAGGTTGAAACAAATTAAAGTTACAAAAACCAAAACTCATTGAACCTTTCGCCTGAATGAGCTAAATGTTTTGCTAAATGAATGGCTAAAATAGCACAAAGCCTGCAGAAGTAGTGAAATAGTTATGAAAGGAAATAGTTAAAATTTTAAGTACAAATACATACACACACACAAAAAAATAATAATCTGTTGACATACTTTTAATTATTTTCTACTAAAACATGCAACTTTGCAAGCTGCCCTGAATTTCAGCACCATGGACAGTGCCACACACGCAACACAAGCAAAAGTCAGTTTTTAAAACACGTCTAACACTGAAAACAGTGAGAACCTTTAATTTCTTTTGTGATTGCTCAAACCAAAGGGGGTTGTCAAGCTGAAATCTCCAAACACAATCCTTTTCATGTAACTGTATGATTACTGAAAACACAGGTGCCTGGAAGAATCAAGTGGGTGTGAATACCAATTAGAGGCATTTGTTGGATGTTTAAAAACAAGAATAGCAATCAGTAAAACATATACTGTGATAAGAAAGCTTTATTATACTTGGTATCTCCAAATAAATACAACAAAATCTTAACTAGAGAAACTGTGTTTTCTGTAATGGATAAAAATAGTATAAATGATAAGAACTAAATTATTTGTACATTTTGCTAAATAAGCTGAAACTGAGTTATCAAAGCTATTAGAGACAATACATTTGAGGTAAAGCTTAAAGGGAAAAAATGCTAAAAGCTAAAAGGGACTAAACACCAAGTATCCATCCATCCATCCATCCATCATCTTTACACGCTTCTTCCTTTTCAGGTCATGGGGGTCACTGGTGCCATATCCAGTTATCACTGTGCGAGACATGGGGGACACCCTGGATAGGTCTCCAGTCCATCACAGGGACACATAGAGACAAACAACCATTCACTCTCTCACCTAGGGACACTTTAGAGTTACCAATCAGCCTAACGTGCATGTTTTTGGTCTGTGGGAGGAAACCAGAATCCCTGGAGAAAATCCACACACGCACGGAGAGAACATGCAAACTCCACCCAGAAAATAAAATTTCAAATAAAGCAGTATTTTTGGTGCAATTAAAAATCTCAGTGTATTTCTATTGGAAATTATTTTTGTAAATTAAAATATGTTAAAAAAGCATAATTTAAATGTATTAAATAAATGAACATTTTGGTGTTTGAATGGTTAAGATGGGACAAAGTATGCAGAAGTATTTGCATGTTGAAAAAGGTACAGAAGAAAAGATAAAGAGAAACAGGATCAATATAGTGTGAATGCTGAATCAGGATTCACACAACCAGCATTTAATTCAAACACATAATATCAAGCCTAAGCAACAGCAGTTGTACCTTTGATTTGATATGAGTTTGGTGGATTTAAATATAAGTTTAGTTTTAATCTGAAGTTGTATTTGCTTCAATTTGTTTCAGTCACAGCTGCTGCTTATTATCAAATTTTGCGCTTAATATTTCAATCGTCTTGTAATTTCTCAAAAAAGTAACATAACGCTAACAATTGTTAAACGATTGAACACGACTGACAATAAGAGGATTTAATTTACTTAAGACCAATTCACTTTCATTCAGTTTATTTTAATTTGCAGAACAAAAAAATAAAGAGAAAAAATTTATAAACTAAATTTGAACATATCAGTTTGGAGCCACATGTCTTTGGATTTTTATTTACTATTTTCTTTAGGTTTCTTGAAACAGCTGCTAATTTAATTTGCACAGGAAATCATTTTATTTTACTCAAATTTGAAGTAATTGTTAAATTAGTCATCTTTATCAGCTGTATTTTTGTCTGATTCTAAAAAAACAACTAATAAACTGATAATACCGCTCCCCCTGTTGAGTGTAAGTGACTGTTGCTGCCTACCTGTCATCATTTGGGAAGTTCTGGTCCCCGAGCAGCAGGTCCCTGAAGCGGAAGCGGGGTGGAAGTGGAGGCACCTCGCTCTCCAGCTGCTCCATCTTCAGAGCAGAGATGTCTAAGATAACTCCACTGCTGCTGCTGCTGCCTCTGTTAGTCTGAAGTGGAGCTGCAGAGGAACTGGAGGAGCGAGAGGAGAAAAGTAAAATGGCAGAAGGGGAAAGAAGGATAAAAACAAAAAAGCTTTGTGAAAAAAATGAAGGGAGCTGGAAGGACAGGAAGTGAAAGAAATACAAAGATGAAACAAAGGGAAGACAGAAAGAAAAAAAAAACAGATGAAAAGGTGACCTTTTACAAGAATGCACAAAAGTATTCAAATCACTTTGCACACTTCATCATCCCGGAGCAGGGGCAGCAGAAAAACATCTTCTTGGTCTAAAAGCTTCAATATGCAATTATTTAAGCAAATGAGTCACCTTGTTAGAAACACTGTTTCTTAGTGCATGATTACATTTCTCACAGCTTCAGTTTATTATATTTTATTCAGAAAATCAAAAACAACTTTCCATAAAAATGTAGTAGATAAGAATAATACATATAATATGTATGGGATCCTAATTTTGATAAGAGAAAAGAAGATGTTGAAAATCATAATCCTTTAAAAAGTATATTAATCAGAAATTGAAGATTAAAGAGGTGAGGTGTTTCTGTGAGTGATGGGTTACTCTCCACAATTATTTTGATGCAGAAACATTTCACATCTCCTCCTAAATTGACAAAAAGAGTGAAGTTCTTGAGGTTTGGTGTGAGGATAGGTGCTGCTTTCAGTCTCCTAGAAACACAGCTGGTCACAAAGCAGACAGGAAATGAAAGCCCAAATCTCTCCTCATCACTGTCTGCTGCAATCCTGCACTGAGCTCATCAAACATGTTTTATAATTGATAATGGATATATTTCTATGTGGCTCTGAGGGATTCAATCATTTCAACACACTCAGCTCACACTTCCAGTGAGAATAAACACTAGTCTTCACGAGTCACATTTTTGTCCTTTCAAAATGCCGTTCCTTCAAGTTTGCATGGAAGAGATGTTATGGCAAAATCAGGAGTGTCATTCCAACAAATCAAGGCATAAACACAATGAACTAAAAACTGGATAAAGTTGGTGTTAAATAGAGAGGGTGTTCTGAACTATTTTATATATTTATATATTTTATATTCTGGACATAATGAACTGCTGAAAAAAGTGACAAAATGCATACTGCCTGTGGGGGCCACACCATAAACATTTTATCAATCCCCATCAGAGGCAATATCCAATTAAAACTTAATCACTGGCATTGTCAAACCTTTTAGCTGTGCAGGGTCACAAAGTCAGCATCATTAAGCTACAATTGTGGAAGTAAAAAATTACAACCTCACACAGGAGGGCCAGATGAAAACAGGAAACAAGGTATATTGAAATTGCCAAAACAGAGGGGAAAAAGCAATAAATGTAATTTCTAGCCATGACAAATTTCTGCAGAAGCTGGATTAAAGTGTATGCAGAAAAACTCCCAGCA